ATCCCAGTGGTGACTCATTAATGGGGTTAACTACTTACGTTCTGCAACAGTGACTCATGTTAAGCCCATGATGATTTCATTTGCCTCAATCCTCCAGGCGACAGAGAGTTCACATGTAATTAATCAAGTGGCTATCTATCACACACACACACAGGGCTGGAATCTAGCCTGAAAAGCCCCAGGCTAAATGCTGCTATGGTGTTACAATTCTTGGAGGTGATTCCCCATGCAATACATAGCATATTATTTTGACCAAAGAAGTCCTCCACCTCTGGACAGACTCCCCTTAAAGAAAGCCGCTGCAGCTATTTGTGGAATGAATCCATCTGGGCTTCCAAGAAGTTTTCCTTAATTAGTATCACTAGGAGGCTAAGCTGACCAAGTTTGTTTTTAAGTATAGTGGGCCCTTGGTATCTGCTGCGGTTTAGTTCCAGAACCTCCCTGTGGATATCAAGATCTATGGATGCTTAGGTCCCATTAAATACAATGGTGTACTAAAATGGCATCCCTCATACATAATGGCAACATCAAGGTTTGCTTTTTGGAATTTCTGTATTTTTAAAAACATTTTCAAGCGTGGATGGTTGACTCCAGAGATAAGAAATCTGTGGATGTGGAGAGCCAACTATATGTACTGATGGTACTGTAAGCCTCCAAACATCCCCTAATATAATTATTAATTCAGTTATAGTTTGATGTAACATTAGGCGCTAGCATGAGTGGATGTGGTTGCAATGGCATGCATAGCACTGGAAAAGGTAGTGTAAATGACTCGTAGACCCTGCCATGTGGAAGGGTGTGGGGATCATAGAATCATAGAATCATGGAGTTAGAAGAGACCCCAAGGGCCATCCAGTCCAACCCCCTGCCATGCAGGAAGACACAATCAAAGCACCTCTGACAGATCTGACCTCTCTCTCCAATGAAAGAGACTCTATCACTCTCCAAGGGAGCATTTTTCACCATTGAACAGCTCTTACTATCAGAAGGTTCTTCCTAATGTTGAGCTTGAATTTATTTTCCTGGAGTTTGCAACAATTGCTCCATGTCTTGGTCTCTGAAGCAGCAGAAAACAAGCTTGGTCCATCCTCAATATGACATCCCTTCAAATATTTAAACAGGGCTATCATAACCTTTTCTTCTCCAGGTTAAACCTTCCCAGCTCTCCAAGTCTATCCTCATAAGGTATGGTTTCCAGACCCTTCACCATTTTGGTTGTCCTCCTTTGGACATGCTCCTGGGATGGAGAAGCTGCTAGAAGAGTGCTACTACACACACAACCTACTCTGCATTTTTGATGGAAACCAAAAGCCAAAAGATGAGTTCTACCACATCAAACAAGACTAGAATCCCTCTTTCATCTGTTGTGCCTTTCTTAACACCTCCTTCCTGTTCTCTCATGCCTGGGATTCCAGATCTTGTCTAGATGTCGTAAAGCCTATGAAGCATCATTGATCAAAATCAGTCCCTCTCATTTCCCAAATATCCAAACAAGCTCTGCACTTTGGAAACCTTCTCAGGTTCTGTTGAGGGACAATCAAGCCTTCGGTTTCCCACATAACCTATACAGATTGGGGTTGGCTTTAAGGTGTAAACAGCACCCCAAAATGTAGCCTTTTTGCTGCAATCCCCCCTGCTTCTCTGGTGATTGTTGACCTCAGGTTTCCATCTGAGTTGCTACTCCTTTGTTCCTGTCTGCTACCCTAAATCTACATACCCAGGCCTAGTGGTTTAAGCCGCTCCTGCTTTCCTGCTTTCTGCGGACCATCTCTCCAGGATTTGTAGATAAATCCTCTTATTCGACCCTCAGACTCTGTTATCCCCTTTCCTTTTCTATATTCATTTAGCTCTGTATGCTGTGTGAGAGAGTGAGTTACTCATGGAATCATAGAATTGGAAGAAACCCCAAAGGCCATCCAGTCCAACCCCCTACAATTCAGGAACTAACAAAAGCATCCCCAACAGATGGCCATCCGGTCTTTGTTTAAAAGCCTCCAAAGAAGGCGACCCATCACTCTCTGAGGGAGTGTGTTCCACTTCCGAACAGCTCTTATTGTCAGGAAGTTCTTCCTAATGTCGACTTGGAATTGCTTTTCCTGTAGTTTGAATCCATTGCTTCAGGACCTATGCTCTGGAGCATCAGAAAACAAGCTTGCTCCATCCTCAATATGACTAGTATGTGTGTTTTTCTATATTTTCCCCCAATAAAAGTTCATGTCATCCCCCATGCCGGTTGCAAACTGCCAGAAATAATGCAAATTGAGTCCACTTTTAGGGTTAGGGCTAGGGCTAGGGAATCATGGGAACTGTAGTTTATTGTGGCACCAGAGCTCTCTGCCAGAGAAGGCTCAACGTCTCAGAAAAACAACAACAATGCCCATGATTCCCTAGCACTAACCCTAACCCTAAAAGTGAACTCAATTTGCACTATTTCTGGCAGTCTGCAACCCCTCTACCAGTTCTTACCAGTATAGTTGGTGCTCAGTTCCTGCATATGTCACCCCCTCTTGCAAAGCCAAGCTAAACATTCTCCTAATTAATTAAAGATATTGCAACTGCTAGTGGAGACTCTACAAGCCCCACATATATTGGGTGACAGTACCTCTCAAAAGACAATGCAATTCTAGGCTGCATCAATAGAAGTACAATGTTTAGATCAAAGGAAGCAGAAATAGCAACATTTGGTA